ACATTTATCAAGAAAAAATCAAAGATGGTCTTGCCAAGTGTGGTCTAGAGAGATTCGCTTTCTTTATACATTATGGCTCTCACTGCTGGGTAACATGACTTGACTTTGAAAAGCTTCTGGAGGTCCAGGTCTTTGGGTGAAGCCTGCCACTGCTGTCAACTGCTAAGATGGACTGACACAGTGGTTTTAGCGGCTGGAGTTTTGGAGATGTGAATACCAACTGTTCCAGGATCAGTTCCTATCCACGCCGGCCAGAAGAAATTTTTTGCCCCCTTTTGTAGGGAATAGACTCAAATGAATGCAAGTAGAAGAAAGGCCTGGGAGAGTGAGGGAGAGGATGCCTCGATCAGGAGTGATTGGCATAAGTAGTAAATGCCTGAGGAGGGGGCAATTTTAAAAATATTAATTTTTTGCTAGTATATGTCGTAGTTACTTCCCTAGTCGCTGGGACAAAGTACCCAACACCCACCACTTGAGGGAGGGGAGGTTTATTTTGGCTGTTTCAGTCCATAGTCAACTGGCTCCCAGACAGACAGGCCTGGCGGGGGAGTTGCTCACAGAGTGGCAGCCAGGAGCGGAGAGAATGAAGGGAGGGGCGGGGTGGGAGAGAGCCCAGGCCCCACCCCCTCAGTCCAGGCTCCACCCCCACGTCTCCGGCTGTAAACTCCTGGGTGGACTCATTTAGCGTCGCACCCCCTTGATCCCTCCAGTTACCTCCCAGCAGCCCCACCTGTGAGCGCGTGAGGCTTCAGAGGGTTACTTAGATACAAGCCATAACAGTCTGTTGGTGATATAAGATAAATACATCCATTAGGAGTAATTGTCACATGCGCATATCGCATCTTGATTCTTTCTACTTCTCCTCCCCTCTCGCCCGTTCCCCCATCCCCAGATGCATTTCTCGTCTCCATAAAAAGTCTGTTTCTTATCATGTCTTTTCTTTTGCTCTTTTAAGTATTTAATTCAGTTTAATATGGGTTTTTTGTTCTGTTCTGTTTTTTCGACAGGATCGATCTCGCTTGGTAGTTCATGCTGGCCCTGAACTCACTATGTAGCCCGGGCTGACCTTGAATTCCCGGCAGTCCTCCTACCTCAGCCTCCTGAGTGCTGGGAGGTAGTAATTCAATGGAGTCTAGCTCTTTAAAGTGTTTGTACTTTGAATTTCTCACAGAAGAGAAACCATGTGATATTTAGCCTCCTGTCTGATTTATTCCACTTAGCATTATGGTCTAGCTCAAGGTGCATCAATTTTCCTACAAATGACTCAAATTTGTGGCCGATTAGTACTCCATTAGGTATAAATGCCACGTTTTCTTTATCCATTCATCTCTTGATGGATGAGGCCACTTCCAAGATCTAGCTGTTGTGAGTTGTGCTGCTATAAACATGGGTGTGCACTCAACACTGTAGAACAATGGCGTTTTCTTTCCATTGAGTTTATTGGTACATTTTAGGTATACCGTACAGCTACGTTCATCATTGGGATCTTGTACCTTTACATGAAAGGTCTTGGTTATTTTTTCCCCACTCCCCTGCCCTCCCTTCACCCCCTCTACCCTTCTGTATTCACACAGACTTTGTTTCCATGTTTTCCTTTTCTCGTATTTTTTTCTTTTCCCATCTTTCCTTCCTCTATCCCCCCACTTCCCCTACACCTTTAGACCCTTTCTTCCTATTTAACAATATCAATTATCCATTTGGATCCTTATTTACACTTATAGTCTTTCACACCAGAGAAACTATTTGATATTTACACGATTGTGTCCTATTTATCTTACTTAAGGATATGGCCTCAAGGTGCATCCATTTAGCTATGAATGTCTCTAATTTCTCATTCTTTATGGCTGAGTGGTACTCTTTTTTATAAAAGAAAACAAACAACAAAACACATCTTCCTTATTTGGGCCTCAGCTGATGGGAAATTGGGCTGTTTTCAAGTTTTAGTTGTGGAATATGATGTCTTTAAGTCTTTGGCAAAGACACCTAAAGTACAGTTGAGTCAAATGGAATGTGTATTTGTAGTTTTCTGAGGTATCTCCACACAGATTTCCAAAGTCATTGTGCCAGTTTACATCCCCACCAAAAATGTGGCACGGTTCCTTTCCCCCACAAGCTCGCCAGCATTTGCTGTTTTGGAGTAGGTGATGATAGCCACTGGAGGAGGACCGTCTTCCCCACTGACCTGGAGAGGGCAGCCGGGGCACGCAGCACTCTGCCGTCCTTCAGAGCACTCTGCAAGGCTGGGGAGCCCTGAGCTTCCAAGACAAGACTGCTCCCCAGGGATTTTCTGTGTGGCAAGGAGGGGCCTCCTTGGAAACAAGAGGAGCGGTTTCCACTTGCCTGCATTGCCAGTCACCCAGACAGATAAGTTTCTGGCACTTCAGACTTCCAATCATGTTTTTATGGAGCTCACTGTGTGATAGAAGTGTCATCCCCAGACTAGAAACTGGCACATGCTATTTTCCTTGGAAAGCTCAAGAAATAAGAGAAAATAACAGTTGGGGATTGTACTCTGTGGGGAAAATGTACTGGTATCGTAAGAAAGTGTCACTCTACAGTGCAGCGTTACTCAGTGTGTGCTCTGTGGGCCGGCAGCTTCAACCCCACGTGGAAGCTTGTGGGCAAAGCAAAGGAACAGACCCGAGCCAGACCGAGAGCATCAGCAACTGTGTGTAGGGGCAGGAGTCCCCTCAGTGCCTGGCAACCCCTGGGCGCACGTGAGGTTGGGCAGCACTGTTCTGGAAGGGTTCCCGTGGGAAGATCGGATACACTGTTCTCAAGAGGAAAGAGCAGCGGTGGTTCTGCTGGGTACTGATCTACTTGGAAATGGTTAAGTATTAACAATAGAAGTAGGCAAAGAGAGCTAGCATTTATTGAGTATTTTTCTAGGTTCCAGAGTCTGTGCTAAACATGTCAGTTTTACTTTTTAGTAGCTAAGTATTGATCAAGAGAGGTTTAAATATGACAAGTATCTGCTAGGTAAGATGTCTCCCTCAGTGTCTCGGAGCCCTGTACCCAGAACCCTGCAGTTTGTCCTGAACTAGAACTCTCTAGATGTCTCCCTTCCTTCCTGTCTTCCTTCCTTCCTTCCTGTCTATTTCCCTCCCTCCCCCCTTCTCTCAGCAATGGTTTTGTCAGATAAATAAGATGGAAAGAAATAGGATCAAAGGAGTTGAGAGTATTTTCCAGGGAGCAATTATAATGCACCCCAAAGTTTAAACTGGGAATAAATGGAGAACAAACAAGAGGGGGAATTTACAGAATTGTAAATTACAGTACACGTTGGGCACAATGGATGGATTGATGGAGCAGACTTTTTTCAGGGGGCAATAGAGTTAATGAACTAGGAAATAGGAAGTGACGTGATAGAGCTGTGGGATGTGTAATTTAGGGGACAGAAGTTCCAGGGTGTGGCTACGTGATGAGATGACTGAAATCACAGGAAGTGAGCTGGTGCTTCATCCTGTTTTCTAATGTTCTGTCTTTTAAGGTGTTTGTCTTGCCATCTTGAACTAGTAAAATTCAAGTTTTTATTGTCTTATTGCACTGGTGGAACATTTAGAAAAAGTTGTTGACTGATGGCTGTGGTGATGGGTATCTTTGTCTTATTCCCAACTCTAATGGGATGGCGTGTATCACAAACTCAGGCACTGTTGTTTCACATGGTCCAGATCCTGTAAAGACATTTCATTGTTATTTTCAGATGACTGCAGTGATCTTATGGTTTCCTCCCTTCACCTACAAGTTGACGAATATATTAATAATAGACTTGCAAAGGTTGGATCATCTTTGAATTTCTGGTAGGAGTCATTATATATTTAACTTCTAGGAGATAGTTCAATTCATTTGGGATTGAGTGTATTACCTGGGACTTTTCTATTGTAAGTGAGACAGTTCACACTGTATCCTTAGGATCTGTGCTCCTCGTATTTTCTAGTCGCCTCTCCTGGGGAACTTCTGTCCCTGGCTTTTGAACTGACTCTGATTGACTTTGTCGTCTTTCTCCAGGCTGATGTTTTATTCTGCCTCATCCTTTCCATGGCTAGTTACATCTTTAATGCTGCTCCTGCGCTCCCTTTCCTATGGCTCTTCTTTGTCGAGGAAGCTCTTGACTGAGGAAGGAGCCTTGCTGTAATTCTGCCAGTACTTTCCCTGGCTTCTCTCTGTGGGCTCTCTGGGCGCTGGCCAGCAGGTGCACCTTGGTTTGGCTGGCAACTCTGATTCTTTTTTAGCTTTTTGTTTCTGAATTGAGGTAAAATTCACATCACATAAAATTAGCCATTAACTTTTTAAAGTGTAAAAGCACAGTTGCCTTTAGTACTTTCACTTTGTTGTGTAACCATCGTCTCTATCCAATAAAGTTCCAGCACCCCTGAAAAACTGCGCTCAAAATAGGTAGCTTCCCCTCCCTCTGCCCTCAGCCTGTGGTGATGACTAGTTTGCTATATGTCTCTGTGGATTTGCCTCTTTGAGAAATTTCATATAAATAGAATCATATAACTTGTGACTTTTTGTGTCTGGGTTCATATGTGTTCATAGCGGCACTCTTTCCAGTAGTCAAAAGGTAGAAATAACACAAGCGTTGGTCCACAGATGAATGTATAAACTTGTCATCTGTTCCTACAGTGTGATAATCCTGAGCCCACAGAGGGGACGAAGAGGTGACCCGTGCTGTCACATGGGCCTTGGGAACATTATGCTAAGTGAAAGAAGCCAGTCTTTCTGTGGGCTTTGTAGACAAGCTTAGCAAACTTGCAGTTATTCTTGGGTGTGGTGTAGGAAGAGCAAAATGGAACCAGAAGTCACTTCAGAGCCAGTGCCCGACAGAATCTACATGTTATCAGCTTATCTCCTCTGTGCACCCCCAGCTGTTGATATTAACAAAAGTAAAATTCCCAGCGAACGAGGACCCTGCCTGCCATGTGTTCTGCAGAAGTTACTGGTTGGTGTGTAAACATTTTGAGCGCTGTTAACGTTAAACCTGCTCTGCTCTTTTTCAGTAAGAGATGCGAAAAACCTTGTACCCATGGACCCCAATGGCCTGTCGGATCCCTATGTAAAACTGAAACTGATTCCAGATCCCAAAAGTGAGAGCAAGCAGAAGACCAAAACCATCAAGTGCTCCCTCAACCCCGAGTGGAACGAGACGTTTAGATTGTAAGTTGATGTCATGGTGGCCCAGCGTGGATGGGGGAGGCGGATATGGGAGCCCGGAAACTGGGGGTTCCTCCCCCTTGCCTTCTGTTTCCTTCCCGCCTTCTCCCCTACCTTACTGCCTCCCTCCCTCATTCCTTCCTTCCCTTTTTTACTCTTCTATCTGCATTTTTTTTTTACTGTGAGCCAAGCAAAAATTAGAACGTATTTTTAAAATGCAGTTCAGAAGCCCTGTGATATGAGGGGTGGGTGGGACGGGAACAGTGCAGTGTGTTGCTAGGTGAAAGTACATTGTGGGAGGAGCTACGGGCCTCAGCCTGCAGTGGGGTGTGCCCACCAGGCGCGGTGCCAACCTCTCTAGGGCTCAGTTTGGGATAATGCTGGGTCTTCAGACTGCTGGGAGATCTCCATTAGCGTCCCTGGCCTGTTCCCCTGTGTCTGGGCCAACACATGTGGCGTTAATTACAACAGCTGACATTTGTTAGGCGTGTACTACGTGTGACAGGCACGGGTTAAGCGATCCAACTTCACTGACTCACGGCATTCCCATTTTTATGGATGGGGCGTGTAGAGGTGAAAGCGTCTGCCCACAGCTCCATAGCAAACGTGAGGTGCAGTGGGCTTCAGCACAGACAGCCTGACCTCGGGGGCCTCCTGCAGCTGCAGGCAGAAAGCGCGTGGCTTTCTCTGGACAGCCCCATTTCCACGAGCACACTGGGAACCGTGTCGGCTTCAGTCCCTGCCTCAGACCAGACAGGTGCCGTACACACTGTCTCAGCCCCAGCCCACACGTGTGCGGATCCACACACACACCCCCATGATGTAACCTCCCTGAATTCGATAGAGTTCCCGAACAGTGTGGACCGATTAAGACACAGACAGCAGAAGTAGGGGCTGCTTCTCTCGCAGCTGGCCTAGGCCCTCCGCCTGTGTGAGCCCCAGGCTGTCAGACAGGAAAAGCTCCTGTCTCCGGGGAATGGAAACCACACATGTTTCTCAAAGCAGCTTGTAAGGTTTAAAAATTTCTACCTCTAGGTCTTGTCCCCTTGTACACTTCGTCTGCTGGAGAAGTCACCACAGCTTCTGATGCCTCCTCTTTTTTCTCTCTTGCAGTCAGCTGAAAGAGTCAGACAAAGACAGGCGACTGTCTGTGGAGATTTGGGATTGGGATCTGACCAGCAGGAATGACTTCATGGGGTCTTTGTCCTTTGGGATTTCGGAGCTACAGAAGGCTGGTGTTGATGGATGGTAAGAAGGCCTCGCTTTGGGAACGACAGTATAATTCAGTCCATCCAGCACGGGAGAGAGTACGTCTTCCTTTTTCTCCTGAAAGTGAAACACGAAGGCAGAGTCCCACCGTGAGGGCTGTAGTTTGGATCTGCCTCACAGATATGCCTGATTTGATCCTTCTACTCACACAGGAATAATGAGCTGCCAGCGTTTTAGAAACCTGAGGCTGCAAGGAAACAGCGGAGACCCACGGAATAGTGAATGCTGGTTAGACAAGATGGGGTTTTCTGTAGCCGCAGTCCTCTCTGCTCCCTGCTTGTCCCATGTGCCCTACTTGACACCATTATGTGATTTGACTGGCGGTAAAGTGGCTCTCAGTTTACCGCAAAGCCATGAACAATCCACTGTCAGATTTTGGATTTTGAGGAGGTGCATCTTCCTTGGGAGCTGGCTATAGTAAGCTTCACAGGCAGCAGCAATATTTCCTTTGTTCTGGAGTCTTTTCCTTTTTTTCTTTCTCTTCCTTCCTTCCATCATTCCCTTGTTGTACTAGGGCTTGAACCCAGGACCTTTTTACTATTTTATGACAGTGTTGCGTTACTAAGTTTAAATTGCCCAGGCTGGGCTTGAACTTGAGATCCGGATTCCTTCCTCCCACCTTCCCTTCCTCCCTTCCTTCCTTCTTTTCCTGTGCTACTGGGAACTGAACTCATAGCCTTTGGACTGAACTGTATCTTCAGCCCTTTCTTTAACTTTTTATTTTGAGACAGAGTCTTGCTAAGTTGCTAAGTTGCCTGGGCTAAGCTTGGACTTGTGATCCTCCTGCCTCAGCTTCCCAGAGTGCTGAGATTACAGGAACACCACACACCGAATCTCACCTCCGTCTTCTAAAACCTAACATCTCTGCAGATGAGGCAGGCCTTCTGGACCTGATTCAGTTGTGAATAATAAGTTAAACAGAGGAATATTACTGTGAGGAAAGAGAGACCTAATTAGAAAATGCCCTAACATGACATTAAACTGTCACCAATCATCTTTGCCCTGATGTTTAGGTATTTCTTCCTAAAACACAGATGATTTGACTTTATACTGGACCCCACCTTCATTGACTTACAGTTCAGATGTTACTTCCTCTTTAAGTCAAGTTTAAAGAGGTTAAAGACAAAGAAGCCCCATCCCCAGGGGGTAGGAGCAAGCTGGGAGAGAGCATAATAATAATAATTACAATAACGATAGCTACCACTTATTGGCTCTCACTGGATGCCTTGTAGCGGGCTGAGCATTCACACGGCACTAATCAGATGTGCAGAAAAGTACCACTGTTTTTTTCTCTAAAAAGGACTCATGCTTTGCCATGCAATCTGGTGACCCCGAGATGGCCAGAGAGGGGTCCCTTGTTGCACGAGGTACCTTCTGGCCCTGCCGTCCTAGAGTGGCCATTCCTGCTGGTCCCTGGTGCCCAGCATGTTGTGTTCCACTGAGAATCTTTCCCCAAGGCCCCCTCTCTGTCCCAGCCCCGGGCCACCGTCTGGCTCCCTTTTTCTCAGCCTTCCCAGGACTCTATGGAGAGCCGAGGGTGCTGCCACAGAGCCCTGTGCCTTTTTCTTCCCCCTGGTGCTGGGAAGGCATTGTCTTCCTGGGTGAGAGTGGACTCCCTGGGGTCCCACCCCGAGAAACCTATCTCTCCTGCTCGCTCTTGCTTCTCCCAAGAAAGAAACACATATCACAGCCTTCCTTCTGGGCTAGCACCTGAAGCAATTTTAAATAATTGTTGGCTTCAGACAGTTGTCTGCTTAAACAGTTTTACTGAAAGAACTTTAATAAGCACGCTACATTTAGCTCAGGCAAATAAAAAGAAAATATAAAGGCATAAAAGACCTGGACATCATAATAAGCTGAAGTTTGAAAATGACAGGGGAGAGCAGGGACACAAAAATGGCTTAATGATAAGGGAGGCTGCCTCAGGAGAACGTCCAAAACATGACCATGTTTACCCTTAGATCACCACCGAATTCTCCCAGCAGTCCTAGCATCATTTCCAAGAACCAGAGTAATTAGCAGCATGTTAAGGACACACAGCTCTTAAAGGACAGTGCTGGAGTTTGGGTCCCAGCGTCTATGATGCCAGAGCCGAGGTGTGTACAGATCCTGTTCTGTCTCTTGATCTAGGGGTAGGCAGAGGGCTGGAGGAAGACCATGGGTCTCCAAACTGGATGGTTGTTTTATGACCTCAGGAATGCGCCCTCTCCGTGCCCACAGCCTTCTGAGCAGATATCATGCCACTCACCAGACTGGTAACAATACCCTCTCTCCCTGCTTAGAGTGTCAGTCAAGTTGATGAAATAATAGTAGGGAACTTTTGCAAAATACAAGCCATCTTTCAGATTTTGCTGATGAAAGATACAAAGTCAAGGAATCTATGATACTGCCTTGGCTCTAAGTGATCCAAAGTCTAGAAATCTGGATTCTGTTAGCATTATGTGATCTTGGGCAAGTCACATGTCTTTTCTGAGACTTGGTTTCCCCAGATGGAAGGGGAGGGGCTCCTTCAGTCATTTCTTGTGTGGTGCAATCGTGCATTGCACAGTCAACAACAGTCCTATAAGATTACAGTGGAGACAGGCGCAGTGGCATATGCCCATAATCCTAGCACCCTGGGAGGCTGAGGCAGGAGGATCATAAGTTTGAGCCCCACCTGGGCAACTTAATGACTTAGTGAGACCTTTTCTCAAAATAAAAAATATGAAAGGGCTGGGGACATAGTTGAGTGCAGAGGCCCTGGGTTCAATCCCTAGTGCAGGAAAAAGGAAAGATTTCAAAGGAGCTGGAGAATTGCTGTCACCTGGAGATGCCATCTGCACCCGTGTGCAACAGTTGCCCGCACCGTGCAGTGTGCTGACGCGTAGTCCAGGTTGGGAGCCCAGGGACGGCAGGTGGACCATGCGACACAGACATCAGGGGGCCGCAGACCCGGCCTCAGAATGTGTCCTGCTCACTAAGTGACACATAAATGCAATTTAGGACCGCGTGGCAGAGACCACAGCAGCGGCGGTGAGCAGCCCAGACCGGTGAGCCTGCCCCGGACTCCTCACTGCCCCTTCGCCCCTGGCTCGGGGCTGCAGTCAGACGCCCTTCCCTGTTTCTAATTTTGTTTGTTGATGCTGTCTCCTTTGTTTCCCTCTCCATTTGCTGGAGGTTCATCTGTTTTATAGTCAGCTCTGGGAATTGTGTATCATCTCTGTGTCTGTTTTCTCCCTTTTTGTAGGCTTTACTTTGTACTGGTCTTTGAATTTCAGTCAGACATTCTCCTAGTTTGTCTTTCTTCTTTTATCTTATTCTGCTCTTTAAAATAATGAACAAATATTTAAGGGAATAGATATTTCCTCTACGTTTCAATATGTCATGTTCTGGCTGTTCTTCTTTCTCAAGGTGTCTGAAGTTGTCTTTTAAATTTTCTTTCTGTCATGCTTTTATTTAGCTTTGTAGCTTCTCAGATTAGCTTTTTGTTTAAATTCTTATTACTAATGTTAAATTATAGCCGTACTGTTTTATGTGCAGACGATATAGTCTGTGTGTTTTTCTTTCTTTTCCTCCTCCTTCTGTTTTCTCTTTTCCTTTTTTTTAAAGTTTAGCTTGGCGAATATTTAATGTTGCTAAATGTTCTGTGAACGTGACACTAAAAATATTGGTCAGGTTTTTGATACTGGGACAAAAATTAGATGTGTGCAACATAAAGGAGCAGCAGGATAATTAGACTCATGGCTTCAGAGAGTTCAGTCCATGGTGGCTGGCTCCAAGGCAGGAACATCATGGCAGAACAAAGCTGTTTGATCCCAAAATGAAGGGGTCAGGGACCAGATACGGTCTTCAGGGCCATGACCGTATGGCCCACCCAGACACACACAAAATGCAGTTAACTAGTCTACTGGGTGTCTCTCCTGCCAACCCAGTTTATAATCAAGATTAACTACCTCGATTATATTAACTCTTTGTAGGGTATACATTTCAACTTTTATTAATTCCACTTTATGGTGATGGCCAGATCTTTTATGCCTTATATATATTTTTGTTTTGTTTGCTGGAACTAGATGTATAGTATTTGTTACACCTTTCCTAGAAAAATTGCTTTGACTGTTAGTATTTCTAATTTTTTGCCTTCTATGTAAACAATATTATTAGCCCTATAATTGTCCAAACTTTATTACATTAACTTCATTACATTAAAATTATCTTCGTTGCAGTTAATATTTTTTTCTCTGTAGTTTTAGCTTTAATTAATTCACTCACTCATTTATTCATTGAAAAGATATGGCTAGAACCTACTGTGCTAAGATGATACCAGTGAAAAGACAGACTAGAATCTTTGGCTCTTAGAGTTTTCTTTCTTGCTGGAGAAGCAATAAAACATTTTTAAATGAGCAAAAATGGTAAAACATAGTATGTTTGAGACTAAAAATGCTGTGAAGAAAAGTAAATAAGAAATGGGGATTGGGATATTTAGCCAAGACCTAAAGGTGGACCATGCAGATGGATAGGGAGAGATTGCCAAACAGAACAGCAAGTGCAAAGGTCCTGAGGCAAGAGTGTTCCTGGTGAATTTGAGGATCTGGAGGACTAGTGGGAGGGTGAGCAGTGCCGATTGGATGTGGGTCAGTGGGGTGGCAAAGCATCGCCTGGGGGACCTTGTAAGGACTTTGTCACCTACTCTGGGTAAAAGGGCCGAGGAATTAATGAGATATCTTTTACCATTGAAGATATTCATCCTGTTGCAGAGTGGTAGATCCTTTAGCCTACATCCTTATCCATTCTTTCATATTTAATCTAGGTCTTTTTATCTTGCCTAATATGTGATATGTTGTTGGATGTAAAAAAAAAAAAAAAGAAAAAAACAAAAACTGAATCTGGGAGATTTTTCCTTTTTCTACTGGGAAATGTTTTCACATGTATGGTCTTTGTCATGGTTCTGTTATGAAGTTTCTGGTTCTAAATTTTTTTCTTTCCTATTTTCTTCTATTTTTCAACTCTTTCTAAACCCATAACTATCCTCTGTAATCTTTGTTACCTTAAAACTGTGTTTCTTTAAACTTTCTTTTGTTATTATTAATAATGACATTTTTGATATTGTTAACAAAAAAAAAAAAAAAACAAGGATGATGATGTTTTGGAATCAGACTTTCTGAGTTAGAATTTCTGCTCCACGCTATTGTGTAGCTGTGTAGCCTCCAGCAGTCTATTGAGCTTCTCTGTGCCTCGCTTCCTTTTTTAGGATGAAATCAGGGTGATTACAGCACAGAACTGGTATGGGATCAAATTGCTTCATCTAAGAGAGGCTCCCAGTGGGTGGGAAAGAGTAAGCACTCGGCGAGTGTCAGCATCACTGCTAACTGAATCATTATGGGAAAACACACATGAGCAAGCAAGAAATATTTTCCAGAACATGTTGCCCAGACATAAGCCCTATAATATTATTAGAGTTTTTTCTTTATGTGCGCATGAAAACATCTGAAAGCTTGCAGCAGAGCTGTCTGGTGATGTGCCTTTTCCACCTAACAACGTCTTGTGGACTTCTGTGTCATTCAGCGCTCTAGGGTGAAATCACTGTAATAGTCCATGTGATCCATGCGGTAGGTCTGTCTCAATCATATAATCGTAAGATGGCAGTGCTTATCTGGAAATATAATTCCACCTCCGTGTGCCTAGCTTTAATTATCTCCTAATATATTCTCAGGCCTGGAATTGATGGCTTTGGAAATGTATGCGTTACTAAAGAGTCTATTAACAGCCTACATTTAAATAAATAACTTCATATTCTTCATGCTGTGTCCTACTTTTTATTTTACTCATACTTATCAACATGTTATTGTACATTTCAAACATATGATGCAAAGATTGTGCATATCTTATATTACTAATTATTTTGAGCATTTTTATTTGTGCATTGCCATTTCTTTTTGTAAATGGCTGTCCTGTCTTTGACCTTTTTATTAATTTATGAGAACTTTTTATATAAGAAGGATATTAATGTGTCTTTGCTGACATATATACAGAGTCTGCCAAAAAATGTATACACACTTCAGCAGTTCACCCTACTAATAAATGACTTATAACTGTAGGAGCCAAAGGTAACTTTTATTAATCTCATGATATCTCAGTAAATTTAGTATTAAAATATTGATACAAGTTTTGCTTTTCCTGATGTATACATTTTTGGCATACTCTGCAGTATTTCTCCCCTTCATGTTTCATGGTAATTTTGATAGTGTACATTTTTCTAACATAAAGCATTTAGTTCAGCTCTAATCTAATACGATAAATATCAAACCAACTGCCAGAAAACTTTCTCAGCTTTGTCGTCTAAATCACTCATTGTTATCTGAATTATCTATCTTGTATTTTCTGTATCCAGTAGATTTTTAAAATTCAGAGATTAGGGCCAGGGCTTTAGCTTAGTGGTTCCAGCACTTGCCTCACAACCACAAAGACCCAGGTTCGATTCCCAGTACCAAAATAAATACATAAAAAATAAATTCAGGGATTAGATTTTTCTTCTGAAAGTAATCTTTCCAATTTGTTTCATTTTCCTAAGTGCATTAATTTCTTGACATTGACAATATGATTTTCTAGAATTTTCTTTTGGCAAGAATTCTTTTTCATGAGAGGTAGTGATGAGATTCCTCATTGTTTGTTTTTGTTTGAATGACTGAGTTTTTCATTTGTCCTGTTGTCTTATTTGCTCATCCTCACAGAAATGACAGATGTCCCTGTTCTAATCTTTCAGATCCAGAAGAAGTGAGGTAGGAATCCTTTGTATTTTTTTGGAATTCTGGTTTTGTCAAATCAGATGTCTTGTCTTATGTGCATGTTTGAGAGATGCTACAGTTAGAGACAGCTGTATAACAAGCAGCCCACTGCCTGATGGAGAAATATCTTTTCTAAGTTGTTTCTGTGCTTCTCAAAGTTCAGAGGATTTCCTGATCTTCTCTTCTAATGAGTACAAGGGTCCTTATTCAGGGGTCATAAGACCTCACTCTGAGGTCCAGCAAGACCTCACGAGTTCTGTGCCATCCTGCTCGTAGTCAGTGAGTGACTCCAGGGAACTTTGCCTTTGCCGATGCTCTGGTGAGGATGCCTCACATTGTCTCTGGAGTACAGATGGCAGTTGGTAGCCTCTGTTCACTCCCTGAGGTCTGATACAGGGTTGCAAATCAGATTCTTCAGGGTTCTCTTTACTGATCACAGCTGATCATTTCCCCTTTAATCTGTATTTTCCAAAATCTCAGACCCCCACAGTGACTTTCGATAGCATGTAGTTTGTGCATAATTAATAGTGTCTTGTACCCTAAACAAGCTACTCTTTCATCAGTACTCTTTCCACTTTTCAAATAACCCCGAAGACAAGGTCTCAGGAAGTTCTGGCACATTCTTAAATGATTCTCTTTGCCACATGCTTCTTGCTGAGCTCCCATTTTAGAAAGGGGAGGGATCAGGTGTTCGGCTCCAGCCTTTGGTGAGCAGCACCACCTACTTAGACATTGGTTTGCATCTGTTTACATTGTTAACAGTTAGTTTCTATTTGTAGTAAGTGACATTCATTTTTTTTCAAGGAAGCAATAGAAAGTATCTGTTGTATTTACTCATTTTTTAGGGCTGGGGACTGAACTGAGGCATCACATGTACTACGCAAGTATTCTACCACTGGGTTACATCCCCAGCCCAGAAAGTGTCTTTTAAAGTGAATTTATTATTTAAGACCAAGATGTTTTAATGAAGAACAGTAAGTCAAAATCATTCACAGGTTTGCAAAATCCTCAAAGGTAGCATGTGAATAGGTAAAGTTTGTCCACAGCCTCTCTGTATTTTTTTTTTTTTTTTTACTACTACTTTACTTTTTGGAATTTCCTGGAAGTCTCTGCTGGGTGGAAAGTGCCCTTCTCAATTTCTAGCAAAGACACAGATGTTCTCTGATTTTTATATTTCTTTTTGTGACTTCAGGGGAAATTTGAGGATGAGAATATTAACTGTGGAGGTAGCATTTCTGCTTTGAATCACCTGTCCTCCTATTTTTGGAAGCTGCCTAAGATCTGTGAATGGAGAAAAAAAAAAGTTGTGATAAAAATTATAAATTTTGGCTAGGAGGTATCTGGAAGTGAGTTTGGGGGTCTCTTTCCTCTCCTGGTTTCCCAGATGCCTTTGGCATGTCATTATCCCTCCTTGTTTTCATCCTCCAGCTAGCTGGAAGCATCTGGTGCTCAGGAGACAAACTGAAGCCTCCCTGATTGTGATAAGAAAGTTAGCGTCATTAAGAGTGATGAGAATCCATTTGCTGAGCACTTGCTGAGTGCCAAACACCACAGTTTTAGCTTCACCACAATTTTGTGCAAGGGCTTTTTAGTTCAGGGCGTGAATGTGAGATTTACAGGCTCAGTGAGCCTAACCAGCTTAATCTGGGGTCACCTGAGGTCAAGAGGCCAGCTTTGGACCTGGGCCTGTGACCTCACCATGCAGGAGTAAGGTTCCTTAACAGGGTGAATGCAGGGCCCTTGGGGCAGCTGCTGCAGAGACCAGCGGGGCTGGGGTCCACGTTCACCCTGTGTGGCCCAATGCCCGGATGGTGCAGAAGGTGGCAGAAGAGCTGGGAAAACTGGCGGGGAGGCACGGGGCACCTGCAAGAGGGGCGTCTCAGGCTGAGTAGCACACAGCGGACAGAACAGGGGCAAAGACCTTGATAATCGGATACATAGGACTGAGGAGTCTGCGTGTGTGAAGAGAGAGAGACAACTTTGCATCCTACAGACACAGATTGTGTTTTTTTTCCTGATGTGCAGTGTTTTTTCCAGAAGTGTTCAGGTTTCAGATGTTTGTCAGAGGTTAGAGTGTGTGTGGGGGGGGGCGGGCATGGGATTCCAATCTGAAAGCAAAATTTCTGTATGTTTCACATATACCTCATACATATAACCTGAAGGTAATTTTATATAATTTGCACAAAAGCAAGGTTTCACCGTGTGGAACGTTCCACTCATGCTGTCGTGTCAGCAATGAAAAAGGTTTGGCTGTTGGAGCACCATAGATTTTGAATTTTTGAGTGAGGAACGCACCATCAACAGTTATAAATATATAGAGAGAATATATGTAGTGCATGTGGCTACTCACGCAGCGCAACAAAATCCAACAAAACCCAAAACCCTCCACGGTTTTTTTAAAGTCGAGTCTTTCATAGGCCTTTTCCCCCTATTCTGCTCAACACAAGAGTACCAGACAGAGCTGTGCTACTTGTCCTGACCGCTTGTCTCCCCTTCAGGTTTAAGTTACTGAGCCAGGAGGAAGGTGAGTACTTCAATGTGCCGGTGCCGCCGGAAGGAAGTGAGGGCAACGAAGAGCTGCGGCAGAAGTTTGAGGTGAGCTTGCTCCTGCCTGCCTGCCTTTCTCCCTCTCCCCCTCCCCCTCCCCTCCCTCCCTTCCTCCCTCCCTTCCTTTTTCTTTCTACCATCCATGACACCCAGGTAAATTGCACTGTGCCATTTTTTCTGTTGATGGTGTGGTTTCTACCATAGACTTTTCCTGACTTTTGGCCTGTGCCATGCTGTCCTAGCTCCCAGAAAACTCCTGTGTCTACAGGAAGACCCCAGTGAAATGCCTCCTTGCCTTACGCCCCCATTCCTGCTTCTGCGTCCCTCATTCAGACTTAGGCATTTGCTCCAACGTGCTCATTCACTGCCCTGGTGATTGTGAGGGTGGCTTGCACCGAGACGGTACTAATGGTAAAATGAAAGAAGTAGACAGAGCCGTGTGTGTATTTTGGAGGCCAAGCGAGCTATGCCCGCCAACAGATTTTACTGGCAGGGCCGTGCTGTACTGTTCACAGGTGGAATTGGGTGCCGCTGATTCTGTGGGATGCCTGGTATGTGGCTCATCTAAGAGAATAATTGTATCAAACAGATTGCGTTTGGCTCTGACCTTGGGCGGTCAGATACTCACCTTCTCTTCTCTGTGGACAAATGAACCCCATTTTCAGCCATGTGGAGCAGCAAGTGTGCAGAACACATCGCAGTCTCACAAAGAAAACATTTTGGGAGATCAGTTTGTGTGCACACATTACACATGTGCTGAGTCATTTCACAGTGGCTTCAGGAGGGAAAGCACACTATTTTATAAGGTATTGAGTGGTGGGAAATCATCAATTCTAGATAAGCAATGATAGCCTACTAACCTTGAAAAGATAAATAAAATAGCATAGCTAAAACAAGATGGATTGTTGCTATTCACCAAATAATCACACCAGAAAATTTAAAAATTATGACCACGTAGAGTTCTGCGAAAGATCGTGTATCTTGGGAACATATAAAAGGAATGGATCCTTGGCTGAGAAGGCATGAAAAAAAAATACTGCAGTAGAAATGAACTAAGTAAAGAGGAGGGAAAGAGCATTCCATTCAGTGAGAACAGCATGTGCAAGAGCCCTGTGGTGGGGAGCTACATAGCAATTGTGTGTGACTGAAAAAAAAAAAAAGTCCAAGAAGTGAGTCCGAGGCAAGGCCGAGGAGCTGGGTGGGGACAAAGAGGCAGCGCTGTGCCTGCCTTGCCAAGGATGTTGGCATTTATCTTCAGACTCCTGTAAGTTTCCCCCTCAACGGGACAGAAACAGCCCTTGAGCACCCACAGGCTCCTTATCTTGACCCTGTGCCATCCACACAGCTGGGTGATGGTGACAGTTCTGATACAGTCAGCTCTTCCCAAGAATGAGTGGCGGGAACTCATGGGCTTGCATGTCAGCCACTCTGGAGACTTCATACTGGAAGGCTGATCTCTGTGCCTGCTCAGCCCAGATGAACAGACAGAAGGACCCACCCTCAAGCAGAGCAGAGACCGGGGTGCTTTGGTAGCAATGGGACAGAAAGTGGCCCCTCCAGAGGCCCCTCCTTTCTAGAAGTGACGACTTCCCAGCACTGTCTGTGTCTCCCGAGTAGAGTAGAATATGCAGTGTCCTCTTGCTGCTGTGTTAGAACTCTACTGTTGTGGGTGAAAACGTAAGGCTTTCTTGTGTAAAGAGAAGTCTCAGTTTTGCAAAGTGATTTCTTCTGTCCTGGAGCAACTGGGGTGACATTTCAGAACACCAAGGAAGGCATCTGTCTGAGCCAGTAATTGGCTTGAAGTAAAGGACTGTTTTATCTGCATGCAACAAAAATGTGTCCCTTTCTTTCTAGCGAGAGCCTGCAAACGCTTGTTTATGCCCAAATTATAATCACTCCATACCATAGTGGTTGATTAAAAAAATGTTTCCAACAGACCGAAAATTGTTCTCTGGCACACAGAGGGATTTCATTTGACCTTGAACGTGAGAAACACAATCCCTGTGCAATCACCAATTAGCACCCGGAACGACTCCGAAATTACTTGTACCTCTTATCTGGAGGAATTCTGAGTGCCAGTGAGGTCCAGCGGCTGGAGCCAAGGTAACAGACTTCATGGCAGGCAGGGTGAGCCTGAGTAGCAGACACACGCAGTCTGTCCCCAGGTACCAGGCGCGGCCTGTGGGACCTGCAACCTGGCTGTGGGCACCTTGTGCACAGGGAAGGGAAGACCCTGTGCTGGGGACTCGAGTGGGGGTTTCTGACAGCCTTAGAATTCATTTATTCAACAGAGTGCTTGGTCCGCACCGCTTATTATTCTAAATGCTTTATCAACATTAACTCAATTTAATTTTCATAACCACCCCACGTGGTAGGTACTATTATCATTCTTATCTTTTTTCTTGCAGACGAGGAAACTGAGGTGCAGAGAAGTTAAGTAGTTTTCCAAGGTCCCAGAGCTAGTTGTTGTCCTGGCTTTGAGTTTCCCCAGAAACAGACCACACAGAATGCTGAGTTCCCTTTGTAAATGCTGTGTTTGCCTATAACCTGTGCCCATTCTCCCAAGTGCTTTAAATCCTCTCTAGAATCCTCCAGTACCTACCGTACTGTCAAAGCCCTGTGAATAGTTGTTAGCTGCGCTCTAAAGGCACTAATGATAAGGGAAAGAAGTCTGCACATGTTTAATACACATACTTTTTTAAATGAACGTTTTGGATCTGTGGTTGGACAAACCACAGATGCAGAACCTGCTATGCCGAAGGCCTGCTGGGCTGTCAAGCGCGTTGCACTGGCTGGCGGGGGTTGAATCCCGCAGCACTCTGGGAGTCCGAGCCAGAAAGAGGCAGTGAGTGAGTCTCCCCAGGGAGCGATTGGCCACAGCCCCTCCTCCTGCAGTGGTGAGGCCCAAGGCCAGCCAGGGCCTCCAGTTCACACACCAGGGCCCTGCTGATGGGAGGTGCTTTGCTCCTGCAACCAGAAGCTGAGCCCTGAGGCCCAGTGGCAGGTGCTGGCAGAGAGCTGCCCCAGGTGTGGGAGCAGAGCACCCGAGGGTCTTGGCCGGGCACTGGGCACATCTGTGCAGCAGAGCTTGGCACCCAGAGCAGGCTGCCTGGCTTTGAATCCCTTTCTGCCACTTCCTCACTGAGTGACTGGCAGCACGCTGCCGCTAACTGGCTCTGAGCTCCCGTCCCACACTTGTGTAAATGGGAATTAGGACCCCTCTGCCCTCAGACTGCTGTGAGCTGAGCAGCATCTCATGAGCATTCAGATGTCGGGGCCGCCGGCAGTGTTGCTGTCAGCGCCCCCCCCTGTAATAAGTACAACTTGGAATATGCCCCTCGGGAGGGGGAGGAGACTGCCCAGCGTCCCTAGCCGGCCAGGGCCTCCCTCCAATGCTGGGCAGTGGAGTAACTCCTTGTGGAGACTGGGGGTGCAGAGGAGTGTGCAGCTGAAGCCAGGCAGGCATGAAATATCATCTTGCTGGAGCCTGGGCCTGCAGCCGAGGAGACTTCACTGCCCTGGTAGCATCCTGGAAAGTGGCTGCCGCTCTGCTTAGAAATGCTTTCCATTTGCTTTCTGTTTGAGCACTGAGTTCCTGGCTCCATGCTGCAGAAAATGAAAGACTAGCACTAGTGATTCCTGTCCTAAAGGCACAGCCCACCCAGCAAGAGAAAGGGCCCCATTTTATCTGCTCTCTGATGGGCGCGTCCGTGAAGCACGAGGCCACATGGAGCTGTGATGTCATTGGAGGGACGTACAGTAGGGCTTTGTCCTCTGAATGATCATTGTGTTGGCACAGGTTCAAATGCTTCCAAGAGCCAGGCTGGTAACCAGACAGGCCAAAAGCTTGGTCCACATAATGTTGTTAGATCTACTTTTTCAAAAGAAGCTAGAAGTCTGGGTTTCTGTAAGGCATCTTCCTAAATAACATACACTGCAGAACACATCAGCAGCAGTATTAGACTTTGATCTAGATTCTGGAAGCTTAAATGACATGATGGATGGCTCTGTTGCTGTAGCAAAATACCTGAAGCTGGCTACTTTAAAAAGAAAAAGGTTTTTAAAAGCTCCCTCTTTTGTAGTCTGAGAGCTCAAAATTGGGCTACCTCATCTGTTTGGCCTCTGGTGAGGAGCTGGGTCACAGTGTGCTGGAGGAAGAGAAAAGGATGTGGGTGAACACTGGGGGGCCAGGCATACGGGGTGGCTTTGCCAGCTCTTGAGTAAGTAACTCCACAAGGCCAGCGTGACCTTGGAGGGTGCACCCGTGACCCCGTTCCCTTCCGCTTTGCCCCATCTCCTGAAGGTCCTGCTACCTCTCCTATCACAGTGGGGACCAAACTTCCTAAGTCAGGATTTGAAGGAGGCAGGAGACGCAGCGGTTGAGCAGCGAGGTTCTAGGTGCGGAGGTGGAGGGAATGTGTGCCGGTCAGCCAGGGTGAGCAAAATCCTGGAGAGAGTGTTTAGTTTAGCGTGCTTTGAGCGTGACCAGAGAGAGCAGTGCAGCCTCTGCCTGGGCTCTCATGTGTGATCTCCATTGCAAATAAGACATCTGAGGTGCTTTGAGCGTGACCGGAGAGAGCAGTGCAGCCTCTGCCTGGGCTCTCATGTGTGATCTCCATTGCAAATAAGACATCTGATCTTGTGGTTTTAATTGCTCCCTTTTGTCCATAACCCCTACATTTCTGTCTCCAGTTCAGATGTCTTTTCTTAACTCCAGATCCACAAGTACCACTGCTTACTGGGTGTTTCCCAGTAAGGAAAAAGCTGGGACTTAGCTGTCCCAGAAACATGTAAACCTCAGCATCATTTCACTGCTAAATAACCTCCTGAATTAGCTTTCCCGTTACCGGGCCAAATGTAACACCTGGCAGGTGCAACTTAAAAGGTTTACTTTGACTCACAGTTTCAGTCTGTGGTCGTGGCTCTGAGGCAGAAACATCATGGTGAAAGTTTGATGGAGCAAAAGCTGCTCAGCTCATGGCAGCAGGGAAACGCAGAGAGCAGGAGAGCCAGCGAAAGAGAGGATACGTTCTTGCAAGCCTCACCCCCAGTGACTGCCTCCTGCGGCCAGGCCACCTCCCCGTCGCTCACTGGGCTACGTCCTCAGCCAGGGGTTGATCCACGGATGAGGTTGGCGCTCTCAGTACTCAAACGAGTCTTTGTGGGAACCTTCGTCTTTAAACCATAGCCTATCAGCTGGGCTGTTTTGTTAGCATCCCTGAAACACAAAGCCAATGCTCATAAACAGAACGATAAACATCAACAGTGAATGGCACTCAGCAATACAAAGTGCCTCGACCTACACAGCATAGGGTCCAAAGCCGGGGAGGGCGGTGGGAGATGGAGAAAAGACGACATAGAGACCAGGTGGAGCTGTAGCTTGTCGGGAGCCAGTGGCCGCCTGGAGCACCACACACTCTTTATTTGTGGTGGAAGCAAACAGTGCTCCATGGCCTTTGTGGCCTGGGCAGAGCCTAGTGTGATAAAGCCGGCACGGGAAGGAAACAGAAGGTACCATGTCAGCCTGTGCCATCGGGCCTACGCTATGAGCCGAACAGACTGTCTCTGTGACTCTCTACTCTGTGGAAGAGAGGAAGGGCCATCATCAGGCGTGGCCCCTGGCACACGCACAAAACAAAATAACCGGGTGTGGTGGCACAACACTTGTAATTCCAGTGCTTTGGGAGACTGAGGCAGGAGGATTGCAAGTTCGAGCCCAGCGTGGCAACTTAGCAAGATCCTGTTTTCTAAAAAAGGGCCAGGGGCCTAGTTCAGTTTGAAGGCCCTGAATTCAATTCCCAGTACCACATTTAAACACACACACACTGATTCACACAACATGGAAGAATTTCAAGAATAGTTTGATGCGTGAAAGAAATCAAATATGAAAAAGTGTGTATTCTTTGATTCTATTTAGATGAAATTCAAGAACAGACAAAACTGACCTAGAAGAGTAGTAGTCAGAGCAAGACCCCCATTGTGTTGTCTGGGAGAGGGGTTAGTTGGGGGCTTCCATGGGGTGGGATGGAGATGGTTTTTGTTTGGGACGTGGGTTACGAGTGAATTCATTTGTCAGAATTCATGGACATGTGCACTTAAGATTTGTGAACTTCACTGTGTGTGTGTGTGTATAAATTTTTAAAACATTAGCTATAAAAGGTAAAAAGTATGGTGGCTGCTTTGTCAGCCATGCTCCCTAAGTAACGACAGTGGCAAACGTGACAGCATGAGGAAGAGCCGTGTCCTGTGAGGCCGTGTTGGGGAAGAGGAGTCTTTACCCTAAGGTTGATGGGGCATCGCCCTACTACTGCTGCTGGGCATCTTGAGCAGGAGGTGAGCAGCTCCCTGTGGCTGCGTGTGAGGTCCAGTACAAGGGCAGGGGGACAGGTGGGCTGTCCGGGGAGAGATGAAGGCCAGGGGGGCGGGGAGGAAAAGTAGATTCTAGAAACAGCTAGGAGCAGGGAAATGGCAGCTCCAGGTGGTGGACAAGGCACGAGGGATAAAAGCATCAAGCTTTCAGCAGGGTGGGCATGATCTGCAGACCCAGATGACTGTGTCTTCCCACAGAACTCCCCTGAAGCCCTGATCCTGTCCTCCATGTGCTTCCTCCTCCAGAGGGCCAAGATCGGCCAGGGAACCAAGACTCCGGAAGAAAAGACGACTAACACTGTCTCCAAATTTGACAACAATGGCAACCGGGACCGGATGAAACTGACTGATTTCAACTTTCTGATGGTGCTGGGGAAGGGCAGCTTTGGCAAGGTACAGTGGCTTGGCAGGTGGCTGTGTCCCTCCCAGAGGGAACGCTTGCTCATGTGGGGTTTATGACTTAGTGGGGGACAAGGAACAAGTAAATAGATCTGCCCTGCAGTTCGTAATGAATACTGTAAAACAAACAAAGGGAGTGCGCTGTCAGGAACGGAGAGGGGACCCACCCCCAATCGTCTGAGAAGGTGACTTCTGCAGTCAGGCCTAAAGAGTCAGAATGAAACAGACTTGCTTTCCGAGTTAGGCAGGAATGTTCCCAGCAGAGGGAACAGCAGTGCCGAGGCCTTGAGGTAGGGAAGAGCGGGTGTATTCTAGGTGCCGTCAAACGGTGTTGGAACCACACTGCCGTGAGCAGGTGGAGGTGGCGGGGTGTGAGATGGCAGAGGGAGTGGGGCTCTGATGACGTGAAACTTTACGAGCTACACAGAGAGGCTGGGATTTTATCCACGGAGCAGTGGGGAGCCATTGAAAGTTTTTTAAGCGGAGAAGTGACACGATTAGATTTGCCTTCTGGAAAACATCGTCGTGGCAGCTGAGAATGGAAACAATTCCTTTCAAATAGCTGCACAGTTGAAAGATGACTCTGGGACGCGTAGAGCATTCTGGATGCTTTTATAGATACCACGAGACACTGTTTTACCAAAGTTGAGATTGTGTTATAAGTATTCCTGACTTGTTTAGTGTTTTTTGGAGTCTTTTAATCCCTTTGTGTGCCACAAAGATGTTCAGTATAAATCTCGCACCATGAACTCAGGTGTACAAAAAATATAAATTTCTTCTCCATCTCCGAAACTGAAGCCAGAAATCTGGGAGTTGCCCTTGAATTTCCCTGCGTCCTTCACCCCTGGCCTCACAGCTCTGTACAACCCACTGGTGAACCCTGCCAACTCCTGCACGTTACACCCCACGTCCACTCAGCTGCTGACACAGCCTTCGTCTGTTCTGCACCGCGTGTCACCGGGCCCACTGCAGATGCTCCTGATTTGTTTCCCACCCTCAGCCTTGTTATCTGTAATCAATATTCCTTCCATTTGGCGGCCATTATAATTTTTAAAACACAGTAAGTCAAGGCCAAGGTGCTTCCCTGGCCAGCGCCCTCTGGTGACGTCCGTCACAGAATAAATTCTCTGCTAAGTTTTTGGCTTCCATCGCTTTAATCATCCAGCTCTTGTTCTCTGCTTGACCTTGCTCTTTTTTTTCTTCTTCTTTTTCTTTTCCCTATCACCCATGTTTTGATGCTGCTCCCTTAGGTCTTTGCACAGCTGGCTCCTTCTTGCAGTTCACACCTCAGCTTTGACATCCGTTCTGATCATCCAGAGTAGATCCCATTCACTCTCCATTGTATTTAATCCTCTCATGGAATCTATCACTGGATGATACTTTTCTTATTTCCTTTTTGGTGTTTCCCTCTTTCTAAGATTTAACCTCCAGAAGAGAATGGATCTTCTCTGTTGTGGCTATCACTGTATTTCCAGGGCTACAGCTTGAAGTCATTCACTGCTCGAATAGAATGCAAGCATTTCTCTGCCTGTGGGTATCGAGGCCATCTGATGCGGTGGAATAAAGAATCTGAGACCCATGGAATGGAAGTAGGGAGTGAGGACACTCAGTGAGATTGTGGAGCAGCCCTGAGGTCTGGAAGGTTAGGAAATGCGTAGTTGATACTGGTCCACAGCATGGTGTGATTTTTTTTTTCCCCCAGCAGCTCTGAGCAGCCTGGGATGGAGAAGAAGTTGGTGAGTTTGTGCGAAGGGTGGAGATCAGCAGTCACTGGACCAGAAGGTCAGGGTAACAAGGGAGCTGGGGATTCTGGAAGAGGAATGACTCCGCAGATCCACAGAGCATGACTTAGCGGGTATTCAGCAAAAGAGTACTAAACAAGTGATTGAAAATGGTACCGTGCCTGGGTTGGGAAGGAAATCTAGCAGGAAGAGGGTCATCGTCTGAGTAGGAAAGAGGGTGTCTTGAGGCTTGGGGGTGAGAGACCAGAGAGAGAGTCAAGATAGTGAAATATTAGGAGGAATGGAAACATTTAACTTTCAGGGAAGGGTGTTTCCCTGATGACAAAGCAGAGATCGGCCTAGCGAGGAAGAGAGCTTAACAGGCTGAGGCCGTGAGGAGGCAGGCCGGCTGGCTCACTTGCTTTCTCCCTCCCTCCCTCCCCGCTTCTTGTTGTTGGTTTTGTTCTTTCTTCGCAGTGCTGTGGATTAAGCCCTGGGGCTCACAGTGCTAGGTACATATTCTACCATGGAACCACCCAAGCTCCCCCACCCCTTTACATTTAGGGTTTGTGGAGATAAAGTCTCACTGTGTAGCCCAAAGCTGGCCTTGAACTTGTGATCCTCCTGCATCAGCCTTCCAAGTGCTGGGATTACAGGTGTGTGCTACCATGCCCTGAGGAGGTTTTAAAATTTAAATTTTAGTCTGGGTGCAGTGGTGCACCCTTGCAGTCCTAGGTAGTTGGGAGGCTGAGGCGGGAGTTGAGTCCAGGGGTTTGAGGCCAGCCTGGGCAACATAGTGAGACCCCAACTCGAAGAAAAAATTTAAAAATTCGTGCATATATTTTTCTTATTCACGTATATGTTAAAACAGCATTATTGAGATATAATTCACACATCATACGCTGTGCCCACATAAGGTGTACAATCCATTGGTTTTGATTGTGTTCACACGCTTGTGTAACCGTCATCACTGTTGGTTTTAGAACATTTTCATTGTCCATAAAAGAAACTTCATAACCATTACTAGTTATGCCTCATTGCTCTGCTCCCCGATTTTATTTTTACTAAGTCTTGTAGTCACATGACTCATAATTAAACTTATATTAAAAGGATAAACCTTGAGAAGTCTTGCTCACACCCAAGGTCACCTCTTTCTGTGGCCACTTTCTGCCACTGTCTCTGTATGTGAACTTCAGTTCATTTAACTTGCTCCTTTCCAGTCTCTCTGTCCTAATGTAACATTATTTCTGTCCTCATTAACTCAGAAGTTGGCGTCCTGTGCACATGTGTCTGATCACTTATCAATATAGGTTGGAGAATTTTATAGAGGAGTGGATATTCCTGAGGGCTTTGTGGAAAGGATCAGAGTGGGGGGGGCACTGGGAAAATGGATCATTGGGGAATAGGGAGGGAATACGAAAGAATAGATCATATGTTTCCATAGTAACTGTGGTAATAATTGAGGCTATGGTAATAATCCAGGCTGGGGATGGAGCATCAGATAAATCACAGAGGAAAACAGCAGCATGTCATGAAAGCAAAATAGAGTAGCAAACACCTCTGCGATCCTTTAAAACATCTCATAATGTTATGCACCTCTAGTTTTGACAATCACCGTTTTAATGTAGTTTCAAATCTGAATGCCCACTTTGAATATTTTGCGCAGCCTGATTAGGTCTGTAGATCAAACCCCTTAGACAGGAGAACTCGCGGCTCTGGTCGGCTCTCTCCCTTCTGAGGATGAAAGAGACCAGCTCTTGGGTTCACGCCTCCCCTCCTCCGGGTCCCCTGGATCCGATCTGGCCCAGAAAAACAGGCTCTGAAGCACTATAATAATTTGCAGAGCGGCTAGGGAATGACACAAGCATTTTGTGAAGTTCTGTGAAAATGAAACAAGGGAGAAAGTGAGTGTGAAGTCCGTTATCCTGAACTTGTTGGCCCCGTTTAAAAAGTTTCAAAAGAAGAACAGTCCAGAGAAGTGGCTGTCTTGGCCAGTGCGGGGCCATCTGTCCTAGAAGAGCAGACCTTGCTAGCCCGTCCGGCTTACCTGGAGACAGGTGCTTCCTTGGACTTTTATGCTACAGCTTTGGATGCATTATTTATTTATCATTTAACGCTGCCTTTTAGAGTTTCATTCCTCACCCTCTATTTTTTACGATTCTTTCAACTTTTAACTTTAGCTTTGCCAAACTCTGTACCTTTCAGATCTCTGTGGTTGATGAAATTACATTGTCTGTCTCTCCATCTATCTATTATCTACCTGTATATGTAGTCGGGCATATGTAGTCCAGTGGGTTATACAAGTTGACCTTATAAAGTAAACATAGCAAGTAACCCACAAACTGTACACACAAATACAGCTCTTTACGTGATAGATTTGGTGCCTGTCATCCTAGTGTGCTGCAGAAATAAACCTGTTAAGTATTTAATTAATGGTAGTATTGCTTGTCTCCTGAGACTTCATCTGTGCTCGCGGTGATGTTTTGTGTGATCTAAATCTTTTTTAAAAGTCATGCTGACAAGTTTGAAAGAAAGCTTTCTTATTCTCTTATACCGCTGCCTCCTGGCTGTGGAAGGGAAGCGCCAGGGTGAGTGGAGGACGTGCTGTGGGAGGCAGCAGGTGTGCTGTTAGGGCGTAGACCTGCAGACGTAAGGAAGCTCAAACCCAACAGCACAGAGATCTGTGTAAAATGATGTTTATGGGAACACACGTGGTAATAGGAAAAATCAAAATTGTTCATATGATGTGAGGTTAAATATAATGGTACAGCCAAGCTATGTTCAAAAGAACAAAGCATCTTCCTCTCTTTCTGTCATGGACATACTTCCTCTCCCTCTCCCTCCCTCTGCCTCTTTCCTTCTCTCTCATCATGAAAAGATTTATACCATGTCAAGCAATAGTAACAGCAAAAAACAAACATCGTGATTAGTAACATGAAATCCAATGTGTGTGCACTAAATACCTTCATGTAGTGTGTTCACAAATCCCTGCTGTAATTTACCTTTTCCTCCAGTATTTTATTTTTAAAAATACAGAGAAGCTGAAAGAATTTCATGATAAGCATCCACAATACCTACTGCGTGGATTCTAAAATTAATAGTTGACTGTACTTACTTTATCACATAGGTACCCTTACATTCACCTGTCTCGCACCAGTCCACTTTTAATGCATTTCAAGGCTAGTTATTAGACCTCAGTACACTTCACGCCTGAACTGCGGGGCGTGATGGCACACACCTGACGTCCCAGCACTGGGGAGGCTGATGCAGGAG